CAACTATAAAAGGTGATTGTTTCAAATGAAAACCCTCTTCATATTATTGGAAATCCGGAAAGCTGCTGAAATTGGCTTCATATCTATGTATATCATGCATATACCTAACAAGTCACATTTCCTGACGTACAAGCATTATTTATTTTTTCAACTATTTCTACAGAATGGTATTTTTATTCGGTATTTGTTGAGCAGGCCATGATGAGTATTTGACGCAGTATGATTGTGATGTGAGAGACAGTCTCCTAATAATATCAACATTTTAGTTCAGAAGTGACAGGTACCTCCAAAATGATGTATAATAAAACCATTCAAACAAAGTTGTTGAGAATATTTTGAAAAATATTGTAGAGAACTTCGTCGGACGGGGCTCCTGTATATTGTTCAAGAGTGATCGCAGAATTGGAAAGACTTTCTGACGATCGGTGCGTAAGGCGCTTGGGAACATGGAATTGACCAGCGAAATTACCTGGTCTTAATTCATTAGATTTTCATCAGTGGGGAATGTTTCGAGGAGTGTTCGAAACACCTGTACGTTAGAGATATGAATAATTGTTACAAAGAATCACCCAAACTCATGAAGAATTGGATCCGAATGAAATCAGATCTGCCACGATGAAAGCATCCTACACCTGAATTTTGAAGTACTTGGAATTGAGATAAAGATAGAACATGGTATTATGTACTGAAAACTGAACATGAGAATGAAAGATTCAAGATCAATTAATAAATATAACTCATTTGTATGCTAACATCACTCATTCATATGCCAACATCAGTCAGTCACTGAGAAGTGTCACACTATAAGAAGACAATTTTCAACGAATGATTTTTTACATTTTCCATGTTGAAACCGGAAGCAGATGGTTGTTCAAAATCGATGGTTTTCAACCTTAGGATTCTTTTGTGTCGAAACTATTTATTATTGGTCGAAACGGCTCACATATGTCCCTATCGCAACTTTTGATTTACCATCTACTGACATTTAATTGAAACAGATATAGGGTGACCAGATTGCGGAATCTTGAAAAACCCTGTATTTATTTCAAATGTCTATAGTTAGTTAGTTGAGATAGGAAAATGTGAGCTGTTTTGACCAATAATAAATAGTTTCGTCACAAAAAAAATCAGACGGTTGAATAGTCTCGATATTTAACACCTTACTCTTATCTATGTGATCATTTCCGTTAGAAAGCAAGTGTGATACATTGATGAAATCAACTCTCCAGAAAAAACTAGAAATACAATGAAATACAGGGTGTTTCATTCAAAAATACATATAACTTTGATACGTATGATTTTTGCCTAACTCCCTGTATAACTCATGATGATTTATATCGTGCATACAAAGATTCTACATTCAGGCAAACGGAAAAAAATTAATTGTGATATTCCATATGGTTCACAATACAAACTCCGTGTCGTATGACCTGCCCCACCCTGTACATAGGTATATGCTCTTATATTCGAAGTTGATGTCTACTGATTAGGTAAGTATACAGTGTGTCCATTCAGTGCGTAACTCTTCGATATCTCGGAAGCCATAATAGAGAAAAACTTTGAACGAAAAACTTTCTCAGTTACTGAAAATATTTTCCACATTACTAGGTGTTTTATAAAAGCGGGACGACTCGGAAACGAGTGTCTTAAAATGGAACACCCAGTATTGTGGATTCGGGATTCATTCCGCCGAGGTTAACCTTCACATCGCTGTAAAAAAAATCGGAATCGGTTGCGGCGTTGTCAAGATATAATTGAAAAATCTATTTTTGCCACTATTGAAGAGTCATATTGAATTGGGCATGGTATATTCATTCATTCAAATTTTGAAAATATTGCTGGCATACGGTAGTAGCAATATCTCACGTATACTAATCCAGTAATTTTGCGACATGTTCTCTAACCAGGGTGCTCAATTTTGCATTTGGAATTTTGCAAGATTCAGATGACATTCATTAGAATTTTTCAAATGGAACACCCTGTATCATTATTCCCAAATTTTTTCCGACATTTTCCGCCTTTTTTTTGTTGAAAAGAATCGAAATCCGTTGCGGCGTTGTCATGTTATGAATAATTTCCTTATTTTCATTACTATTTCGGGGTAATTTGTACGTCATTGGTCTTCAATTTATTTGTATTGTATAAATATTGCGTTGCTACGGTATAATCAAATGTCTTCATTGACCATTCATATATTTTTTTAAAATAAGAACATTTACCGGCTCTCTAAATTACAATTTAAAACAGAGTGGGTTTTGACAAATTGATACAAAATGCTACTTTCACAAATTATTTGCAGAATTTGAATTAATTTTTCGCAATACACTTCCATTATTTGTCTAATGACATTTCAAACATCACCACATTCAAATATATCCTGAATATATTTGAAATTTTGCTGACTTCTCTCCCGAAACCCGCGTAGTAAAGAAATATTGTTTGTATCATTATGTAGAGTTTATCTGCTCCTTCAAGTTAAAAGGAGATTTGGATTGTGGGAATAACGACAATAAAAGTGGTCCAAATTTTAAAAAAATTCCTTCATTCCGCAACCCAAATCTCCATTGTTTGTATTGTAGAAGTTGCCAAATAATACATATTTTATGTCGAGATGTTTTTATTCGAAGTATTCCAAATAATAATTTTCGGAGTTTGGGATAAAAAAACAAGTAATTGAGGAATTCAAGCAAGTGGAAAACTCATTACAGAAGTTGTTCAAAATGTCTTCCATCCTGATTGATACAAGCCCCAAGTCGCATTTCGAAATTTTCCCTCACGTTGAACAACATGATCTGTGTAATACTTCGAAAGGCATCCCGAATTCTTTCTTTCATGTCATCAATGGTGGTAGCAGATATGCGATGAACCATAGATTTCACGTGACCCCATAAAAAAGTCCATACTGGTCAAGTCGGGAGATCTTGCTGGCCATTGGAATGATCCTCCCCGACCCATCCATTTTTGAGGCAAACATTGTTCATGATGGTTTCGCACTTCTCTTTGATAGTGTGCAAGTGCACCATCTAATTGAAAATACATGTCAAGTTGAATCACCAGTGGAATATGGTGAAGTAAGTTGGGCAGATCACCGTGCAGAAACCGTTAAAATCTGCCTCCAACTGAATGCTGCTCGAAGAAAAAAGACCCAATAACGTAATCATTGAATATACCTCCCCAAACATTGAGCGACCATGTTAGAAGTTAGAAACTAGAACTGCATGTGGATTTTCAGTAGCATATTAGTGGAAATTAAAACGATTAACAAAATCATTTCTGTGAAATGTTGGTTCATCACTGAACAGCACATTTTTGAAAAATGAACAGTTTTCTCTTATTTTGTTTCGTGTCCATTGACAGAATGTAACTCGTCTTCCAAACTCATTTTCTGTAAGTTCTTGGTGGAGTTGAAGATGGTATGGATGAAATTCATGCTATTTGAGAGACTTCGCTACTGATGATTTCTTAATATCTAAATGTTTACTTATTTCTCTAACACTCAATGTCGGATCCTTAGTTACTGATAAAGCGATAGTAAATTCTTTCTTTTTTGTCAAAACAGTATTTCCCTTTTAGATTTTTTATAATTCACACTCAAATCTATATTTCAATCTTCTGAAGCATATTCCTTGAGGAAGTCTTCTCTGAGGAATGTTCTGGTCATAAATTCTAGAGGCTAACAGACAATAATTTCCATGACTTTCCCTTGAGGTGCACACCATGCTTATCAATTTTTCCTGAGAATAATTCATTTCAATTACTCAACATCAAACACTTTAAATTTTTGAAACTGAATTAAACGAAAGTGTCAACAAAACATTTTTTTTTTCATTGCCAACTGGAAAGATATAGGATGAGCAGAAGTACTTACTTATAGAAAACAATTTCAAAGATTTTCGCTCCACTACAGATGATTGAACCAGATATTCAATTTATAATCCATGTATTTGTGAATATTTCAGGTGTTTTTCAGTGTATAATAATTTATGCTCCAGTGTTTTTTTTTTGGAAACTTGATGATGAATAATGTGTTGACACTCCGAACTAAAGAATGTTATTAAAATAGAAACACTTCGAATTAGGTTTAACTGTTTGAGCAGTCCTTTAGACCACTGTTCTGAAGGCCTTCAGACCAGGCAGACGTTGCTTTTGACATGTTTGTTTGTTTCACATAGGTACATATTATTTAAGTAACAAGATTACGGAATATTTCAAATTTGGGAAATGCACATATCGCAAAAATACCTGAATGATCTATGTAGAACCTCGAATGTCACGTGGCAAGCAATATCCACACTCAAATCAAATAAGGGAACCATGCCTTATGAGTAGCCTTGAAATATAGTGATAAACATAAGGAAATTACTCATTACTCATAACTCATAACTTGAAAGCGCATTCGCTACCGATTTTGTTTTTTTTTCAGCGATGAAAAGGCGAATGATGTCGAAATGAATCTGTGCTGAAAAATACTGAGTGTTCCATTTGACAAATTCTAATGAACGTCGTCAGAATCTAACAATATTCAAAATTTAAATTTCAGCAATCTGTGAAGGCTCATCTCGCAAAATTACTGCATTGGTGTACGTGAAACCTTGCTACTAATGAATGCCAAAAATATTCTCAAAATTTTAATGAAGAAATATACCAAACCCAACTCAACATGACCCTTCAATAGTGGTAAAAATGGGTTTATCAATTATAACTTGGCAACGCCGCAACCCAATTAAATATTTTTCACAGCGATGTAAAGCTAAACCTTAGCGAAATGAATTTCGAATAAAAAATACTAGGTATTCTATTTATAAATACTCGTCTCTGAGTCGTCCCGCTTTTATTAAACACCTAGTATTGTTGAAAATATTCTTGAAATGGGAACCTCGAATAACGGAAGAGATTTGTTCTCAAAAGTTTTTCTCTAGTGATAATGGATTTCGATATATCGAAGAATTACGCACTAAATGGACACACAGTATATGTATATTATTAAAATTATATGTTACCTGCTGGATTGACTGGGTGAAGTTGGAGAGTATCTGTATCTTCCATTATCGAAATCTCCACTAACTTTACTTTCTAAAAGAGAAAGTTGTTTTTTCACTACCAACTTCGTCTCATCCATAATTCTCACCCTCACTTCGAGATAAACTACTTCATACTGATATTCGCAATAATCATTTGTCACAAATTTTAAGATTTAAATTAACATGTTCGATATTACTAAATGTGAATGATTACTGTTTGTTGAAGAAATTAGTTAGTTTGTGTCAGCTCCATATGATCATGCACGTATATTATTCCTAATGAATTAGTTTTGTTTAGGTAAACGGTTTTACAATGACGCGATTTTGTTATCATGATATCTATTAGACATGGCCAAATATATACTCAGTACATATTTTGATTTCTCTTTCCGTTTTCAGCAGATTTATATTCCTGGTAATCCTCGTAATATTTCAATTTTTTTATAACAGCAACACAGATCAGTTCGGCAAAAAATGTTAGTTTTAGTTTTTCATTCATTGGTTCAATTGACTCGACACTTTCGAAGTTGTATAACACATGAAATGAAGATTTCCACAACAGTATTCACTTATGTCAAGTCTCAGTCGACCGAGATCGGGATTACTATTCGCTCACATTTTTTTTTTGTTCTGGTTCCCACGAAATGGGATATCCTGTAATGTTCAGAGAACATTGTGAGAACCAAGGAAAATAAGGTAGGAATTTGTATGTTTTTCCTAAATTTCTGGAGGTTATATGCCTCAAGGAACACCTTCCTTGGCAATGTGTTCCAGAGCCTCGCTGTTCGTTGGATGAACGAGTCTTTGGAAAGAAATGTTCTGCAGGTGCGAAGCCTCAACTCGACGTGTTAATCTCGCGGGGACTGCCAAGCAAGAAACAATTGTTCATATTTCAGAAGAGCATCGTCCATGAGAATATTCATAAAATAGAGCCAGATCGCTAACTTTTCTTCGGTGTTCCAGAAAAGTGAGTGAGTTTGTGAGCGAGGCATCACCCACGAGACGAATTGCCCTTTTTGGGACAGAATTCAACAGTTTCAGGGTATGTTTGGGTGCTGCACTCCAAATATGGGAACAGTATTCCAGGACAGGTCGGATCTGTGCCTTATAGATCATAAGCAGCTGACTGGAAGTGAAATAGCTCCTGGCCCGAAACAGAAAACCAAGTTTTTGGGATGCACTGTTAGCAATTGATCTTACGTGATTTTTTCAAGAAAGGTTATTGCTGATAGTAATACCAATCATCGAAATGGGTGTCTTCGAAGGTAAGGTTATTCCTGACAAGCTTATGTTGGGCACAGAGAGATCGGCATAGAAAAGTCATGCTTGTGTTTTGTTTGCATTGAAATCTACCAAGTTATTGGATCTCCATTCGAGAATTGTTAGTCTGTATATTCATGTTGTCAACATTCCTTTCTCGTTCGTTTCTAATTTACCTGGCTGGTATTGGAGCCCTGCAAGAGAAGGCGGTATGGAGGGTACTATCATCAGCGAAGCTATGTACTGGACATGAAGTTGCTTCCAACAAATCGTTGATATGTGGTAGAAATAGTGTTGGTGCCAGAATTGATCCTTGCGGAACACCAGCATTTATGATAAGAGAGTCAAATGAAACTCCGTCGACCACTACATGGAGAGACCTGTCTGAGAGAAAACTAGCTAGCAGAGAACATAGCTGGGGATGCAAGCCATAAGATGGATGCTTGGCGAGGAATCAGTGGTGCCAGACTCGATCGAATGCCTTGGAGAGACAACATGTTTCCAAAACAGTTAGTTCACTGTGCCATACGAAATCGAATAAATATACAAAGATATGCGACATGCGAGTGCCCAGGGGATTATAATAATTAGTTTCATTCGTTCGGGTGTTACTTCGGGAAAGCTCGATTCATTTCGTTTTGTGGTTCCTGCAGATATGCCATTGATATTCATTCATTGCACGTTTTGTATCCCTGAGAGTGAGATGAGGTCATGTGTGTTCCATCTCTTTAGGATTCCTACGATTGCCAATGAGAATTAAGATTTCATCCAGTGGCATATGAACTATAAGTGAGTACCTAACATTATTTCACAAGATGACGTATGTTTCATTGAAAGAAAATGTTAGGGTGGTTTAATTTCTTCATGATATATGTATTAGTTTGATGCATGGTTCGAAGGTATGATTTTTATTCCAACTTAGTTCACTTTCATCAATAGTTATTCACGTGACTAGTGCGATATAGACATACGTCTTGGTCATGCAATCCTCACATGACGCGTTTCGTACAAAATGTTATCTACAACTGTCAAAGTTTTCATTATTATCTTTGGATCTTCCTCATTGATATTCCACTTTGACGTACCTACTAATGACAGTTTTCTGATAATCGAAAACACAAGTTGCCTGTGATCATTTTTGTTACCGCAGCAACGGTAGGTATGAACAAAGCCGTTTATGTTAAATTAAATTATCAATTGTTCTAGTCAAATATTTCTCAATTTTCTACTTGTGATTCTTTGTTCAATCAATAACCACAGCAGAAAAATGATGTTTTCGTTTTTGAATCTGAATAAACAAGTACTTGATCTCAATAAAATTCTTTTTATACGAGCATCAGCTATATTACTCCATTATTTTCAAATCGAAATATTCCGAAAACGGAACACAGTATCGAGTTTCAACAGGAGTACTTTTTTGGTGTGAAATTGAACGATGTTCGAGTTCACATCAAATTCGGGTTAGAGAATTTTACCTCAAAAAAGTTATGTTTGAAACTAATCGGTACGAACCGTGTAACTAGCACCCTCTATGAGAGTCAGATATAAAAATCCATGCGATGTGTCAGGTTCCAAAAAACATCCATACGAAATTTCATCACAATGTTGCCAGTTGTTTCGACGTAATCGTGAAAAATGTGTAAAAAATCATTTTTTCAACACCTTGTATTATGAAAACGGATGCCGTTACGACTACTCACCCTATCAAGGAGGTCAGGTTTTTTTGAAACACCCTGTATAAGTTCAAAATGAGAATTTAATACCTATACCATGCCTGTCAGAAAAATGGCAGAAACCTGATATTCATTAATCCCCTTCAAAACGGCATTACTCCTACACTATCAATTTTTGAAATTTTATAGTCTATTAGAACTTGATTGTTAGATGTTATATCGGGAGAAAATTGTGGACCACTGTGTAAATCAAGTAGGTAGCTACAATTTCTAGATTTCGCCAATTTGTTGCCCTTATATATTTATTCGTTTTTTCACACCGATATATCTGCATATTCTGAAAGAAATTTTCTTTCAAATCAACTGATAAAACTCAACTCATTTTGTACACTTTCGGAAACTCAAGAATAATTTCGAAATTAAATAAAATTACGTGATATAAGCAAATTATCGTGTGATATCTAATTGTTCAAAGTGAAAATCCGTATCAGGGAGATTTTATGAATAATTCCATTTATTTACATTTCACCTGTTCTAAATTAATCTTATCAACTAAGATTTATTGTCCGAGTCAAAAGTTTCTCGGTACAGAATGGTACAGATAAATATGACGTTTATGGAGATAATAAATAAAAATTTTGCAATCTCACCTGATAGGTACAGTTTAGTTAAAGAACTATCACATCCTAACACTTATAAGAGAGAGTAAATTGAATCACTGTAGGTAAGTACACCGACTTGATTTTGTTGGAAATATTATCATCTGTATCTCACGACCTATATCGTGTTTTTATTCTTCATGCACACTTTTGGATTGGGTTTTAAGTAAGTCATTATCAGATGAGAGACTGATAACCAGAGATTATATTACTTTCTCTCTAAGTAAATCCAGATTGAATAAAATAGTAGATTCGTTTTTTGATAATAGTATTCACCTAATACCGTTTAGCTTATAGTCTACTGAAATCAAATTCAAAATTTGTGAATCTCGAATAATCAAAAATCAAGCATAGCTGATTTGTCGATAAATATTTTCTTTTTATTGTGCTTATGTCCAACTATCTAACTATACGGATGGCAGGGTGGATTGATATTTAATCATAGAAAGAGAAGATAACTTCAAAAAAAGAAGAATCCAATAATCCACTTTCATGGAACATGGTATCCACTCAAGATCAATGAGAAGAACACCCAGTAACTCATACATTTTTCTGACAATCCCAAGAATTATCTTCATTTTTTATGTTGAAAACGGGAGCAGATTATTTCCCGAAAGGTCCGAAGATAAGCGAAATTTGGAATGACCCCAGCGCATCAACAGGCACTTCTTCAACTACCTATCATTCCACAAATACCTACCTCATCAACGGACCCAACTTTTTTTATGTTCTGGTTCCCACGAAGAGGAATATCCTGTTATGTTTAGAGAACATCGTGAGAACCAAAGGAAATAAGATAGGAATTGGTGTTCTTCTCAAATTTCTGGAGGTTATATGCCTCGAGGAACACCTTCCTTGGCAATGTGTTCCAAAGCCTCGCTGTTCGTTGGATGAACGAGTCTTTGAGAAGAGATGTTCTGCAAGTCTCCAATGTGACCACGAAGGGGTGCGAAGCCTCAACTAGAAGGGGTAATCTCGCGGGGACTGCCAAGGGAGGAACAATTGTTGATATTTCAGAAAAGCATCATCCATGAAAATATTTATAAAATAGAGCCAATTCGCCAACTTTTCTACGGTGAGTTTGTGAGCGAGGCATCACCCACCAGACGAATTGCCCTTTTTTGGACAGAATCCAACAGTTTCAGGGTATGTTTGGGTGCTGCACTCCAAATATGGGAACAGTATTCCAGGACAGGTCGGATCTGTGCCTTATAGATCATGAGCAGCTGACTGGAAGTGAAATGGCTCCTGGCCCGAAACAAAAAATCAAGTTTTTGGGATGCACTTCTAGCAATTGATCTCACGTGATTTTCCCAAGAAAGGTTATTGCTGATAGAAATTCCAAGAATCGAAATGAATGTCTTCAAAGGTATGGTTACTCCTGACGAGCTTATGAAACAGTGAGATCGGATTTTCTAGAGAAAAGGCATGCTTGTGTTTTGTTGCCAAGTCCATATTTATGTTGTCAACATTTCTCCCTCGTTCGTTTCTGATTTGTCTGGCTGGAATTGGAGCCCTGGGAGAGGAGGCGGTATGGAGAGTACTATCATCCGCGAAGCTGTGTACTGGACATGAACTTGCTTTCAGATCCATCGCAAAAGCTGCTTCACAAAAACTCGGATTCTTGTTCCGTGCGAAAAGCTACTTTACACCTCGACAACTTCTCATGATCTACAAAGCGCAGATACGGCCTGTTCTAGAATACTGTTCCCACATATGGG